TATAATTATCCCCATGTTGCAGAAGACAAAAATGAGACAATGAGAAGTGAAATGATAGGCCTAAATATAGATATATTTAGTAGCTGAGATGGAAAAAGCATCCAGAAATCCCATGTTTTAATATTAGATCTGCTACCCTATTACAGAAGGATATAGCGTGAGAATAGTAATTAGGTTCTATGTGTTATTCATTTCATTGTTTAGTATTTGTGCTGTGGAGTGGCTTATGTTCACATCCAATTAAAAGAAATGTTTAAAGAAATTCCAGTAGTGCTTTAGAATAATGAAATTGCCTTTACAAGGCATTGGCTTTTTGCTGCTTTGTTTCCTTGTGAAGGGGTGAAAACACAGATGTTGTGTCTTTTTTTTTAATTGTGCTCTGGATTTGGTCTGTAACATTGAGTCTTGCATGTGTGCACCATTGCTTTCCCTCACATAAAAATATAAACTTAATAGGCCCAACTCCACCTTGTTCTTTTGATGATCTAGAATCCATTTTCCAAATATTTTCTTTTCAGATTGCATGCATCTGCCTGGCAAACTGCTAAATACTTGTGGAGGTTTGCACAACATGGTTTTGAATTACTTGAAATGCTTTCATTGTAGGTTTCTGTTATAACCATTTTAACTACGCTACTGAATTTCTAAATGATTGCTATGAGCGACTGGACAACAGTTTGTAGAGACACAAGCAAGTGTGGATTTTAGCAGGAGAATTGAAATAAATTGAACCTGAAAATATGGACTGGAAAGCTTAGTATATTTTCTGTGACAGCATTGTATTGGGCTCTAGGGCAGCCCTTCAGAGGAGGTTTTGGAAGTCAAGTAAATAATTTAAAGTAGATTAGAAAGATACACTACAAAATGAGAGCAGAAAACCTTCCTGTATTTCAACAGTAAACTCAATGTTTTGTGTGTTTGATCAGTGCAGGCAGCACGTGTAAAACTGCTACAGTTATTACAGTGTGTGGTCTGTGTGTTTAAGTTACACACAGTTGACCCTACTACTTTGGTTTGTGCAACAGCAGGAGGAAACAGATGATTTGTTTCAGTATATGTACATTCACATGCACACACAGTCTGGGCTAATGCACATGCTACTGCTATTTTTCTGTGTCTTTCTGCTTTCTTTTTTCAACTGCTTGCACTACCCTTCTGATTTTTGTGGTCTGTGTTGTTCAATTAGGAGATTTTCAGAGTCATTAAATAGTCTCCCTTTGATCTCACAGTGTCTTTAGTTCAACTGACACCTGCCAGTAACCCAGCTTAGCTCTGGCAGGCTCTGTTGGATAAGCTTTAAAGTGTAATTGAATAACTCCTGTGTTCTGAAAACCTTGGGTACATCTCCCTCCACTCTGTCCCTGCTACTGATGAGGACCTATTCTACATGCCAGCTTTTTTAAGGCATATGGTGTAAAAAACCAGCAAAGTGAGCACCGTAATGACAAGCTACAGTCATCCTCTGATAGAAGTAGGTGCAGTAGCAATAACCTGCAATAAAGTAGCATGCACTTAGATCTGTCCTGAACTGGGGCCTTGCAGAGGTTCCACATGTGCACAGTGTTTTCAGTTTCTTGTTGCTTTCAGGTGGATGGAAAAGAGTTTGTGTGTTTTTAAGGTGAACAACTTGTTTCCGCTCAGGTAATCACCAGAGCTCTTGAATTACGTGAGGGAGATTCAACCACGAGATCTATTCAGGTTTCTTCCTCCCCTCAGTGGAGGAGAAGGCAGCCATAAAGAAGGGAAGTTACCTCAGCCTCTAACAGCAGAATGAAGGCTCTCAGAAACCCTGGTAGTGTGAAGTGTCTAATGGCTGGAAATTTCTGGGTAGAGTGTAAAATCCATGGTTGCAGTATAGGGGGTTGGCATGCACAGACGGAGACTGATGTAGACTCAGAGTCTACACTGATGAAGGGAGGTTACTATTCCTTCTATAGTATCTTCCCACTTTAGGTTTCTGTGAGGCATTTTATGTGCCCTGTTCCCCAGTCAGGCAATCTGTAAGTCATTCCATGTAAAAATGATGCAATGTCCTGTAAAAGCAAAATTACATTTGAGAAGACAGTATCCACATGTAATAAAATAAGGAAGAAAGATACTGACAGAAAAAAAAACCAGGTTAGTCTTTTGTATAAGAACAGCAGAATGTATTTAGGAAATAGGAAATGGAATAAAATTATTTAGGACTGAGCTTCCCGAGGGATGCCCTTCTGCAATTGCATGTATGTGTGTACTATTTTGTATGAGTATGAATTCTTATGGTGAGATAGTAATGATGTGATGATGATCCTACCTAAAATTTTACATTTTAAATGTAAATGATAGATTGTGAATAAGGGTTTTCATATTTATGATGTGGATATTTACTTAACTATACATACCAGAGCAAAACTTAGAAAGGTATGGTAGTCTCTTTTTCTCTTGTTTGTGTTATAGCAAAAGGTATTTCTGATAGCAGTATTTTATTGCCTAGAAACTGACTTCATTTTCATGCTTTCCTGTGGTTTTCCTCAGATAAATACCAGTCAGACTGGATTTCTGGTGATAAATTTGTAATGCCATTTGAACTTGGGACACAAAGGGACCAAGTTGCAGTCCTTCTGCTGCTCTGTGACCTTCTTCTTCATCTCTGTGTTTCATAACCATCTCAAACTTCAGCTTGAGCTGTATCAGAAAGCAGAGGTCGTTATCTGAATCAGGGTGTTCCTAGTTCAAAATAGAAGTATACTATTTATATCCTAACATGTTTACCATCTGACAGCTTCCTATGCTCTCCCAGGAATGATTTAAAGATGTTGGTTTCATTCCTATTGCACAGTTATCTGTATCACAGAAGTTACTATTGCATTTGAGTACCTCAGCAGAAGCAAGGAGGATTGTTTGACTGCTGTTTGTTTCTCAGCCAACTCTCTTCTCTCCAGGAGCTGAATCCCATGTTTGCTGAAGTTGATTTTTTTTCAGAGGATATCATGTCAAATTCCAGGACATACCTCAGCCAAGTACTGAGGCAGTGTTATTTTTTAGTTATTTGTTTTACTTCATAAGCCTTGCTGTAAGTGCCTTTCTCTACTTTATGCTTCCAATTCACTCATCTCCTCTTAGATTTGGTCTCTTAGGTACATCATCTGAATGTAAATGGTAATTCACTTTGCAGGCTAGGCTTTGTGTGCTTCTTTGAGTGAATTCTCTCCAGAAACAGTGTTCAGCACTGGTCCTTTCTTTCTTTATGTCTACTGGAAAATATCACTCCAAGAAGAGAGCGAAGAGGCCCACTTGCTGTTCTATCAAAAGCACAGGTAGATTTAATTTACACCAGAAACTGTGACTGGAAAGTGAGCCTATTTCTGAGAGCCCTCTGCTTCTTTTGTTTCCTTCTGTTTCTTTCTGTTTCCTTTCTAGCTTCACTTCAGATTTTTGTTTCATTTTTTAAGCTCTGCATAAATTTTCCCCATTGGTTTCCTTCCCTGTTATTACCAGCCAGCCCACTGATCAGGCACCAGGATTTCAGTCTTGCTAAGTTGGTGTATTGTGTTGGAATCAGAAGTCAAATATGTGATAATGAGTGTAATATGCTTCTGAGTGTTGTGATGTTTAGTGGGTAGATGTACACTCTGAAGACCTTTCTCGTCTGCAATCTGTGATGAAGATGAATCATTCTTTGGGAAAAGGTTATAGTCATGTTGTAAATCTCATTCTAAAAGTGAGAAATAAAAAAAAAAGATCCAGCAGTGATAAATAACTACCATCTGGAATCTGAACTATGTAATTGTATTATAATTTGTCATCCACATAAGATAAGCTTTTGAGAATGTTTAAGTTGAAGGCAGAGATACCAAATGTGTTAACTACTTCAAGTACTGAAGTTAAATTAATTTGAACAGTGTGTTCCATGTGAGGTGGAAAGATTCCTAGAACCAAGACAATGGAATTCCTTGCAGCACAGCTGTATGAGAGTAGGTAGGCATTGGGAGAAGCTGTATAGTAGGGTTTACATTGTTTTAAATAAATAGGGCTCACTTTAATTATTTGACAGATGAAAATTAATTTACATCAGAAGAAGCCTTAAATGCCTTTTGTGATTGAGCTCTAGTTGATGTGTCTCCAAAATTAGCAATGGGTGTAGATGAGCAGTGGATGGGTTTGTCTAGCATTAAGAAATATGTACTGCTGGAAATTATTCTCTTCTATGACTTGAGGAAAAGAAACAGAGATTGCTGAAAAAAGACATGGGAAGAAAACAAGAGAATAAAGACAGCAAAGAAATGGGAAAGCAGGGAAAAAAGCAAAATGCCTTGTGAAATAACTACTCTGAATCAACATCACATAAATTTCTGCTTCTGCCAGCTGCCCACTCACTTTCTTTTTTAATAGAAGGAGTCATCATGGTTCTGAAGCAAGTAGTGTAGGGAGCTGTGCATTTTCTAAGGAAGTGAGTTTCCTGTCTTAGTGGGATTTAGCTTGCAAGACTGACTTAGTAATGGATCTGATCTCTTTAGGGGGTATATAACATATCAAAATGGTAGAAACAGTGTTTAATTTTCCCAAGGACACTCCTGCAATACAGTAGTGACGCTTCAGAAATAGCTTTATTATTTCCTTTCTGAAAGCAATGGTAAAAAAAAATTATTTCTTAAAAAAAAACCTTCTGCCGACACTCATTTAGTCTCACAGTGCTTCTGTGAGGGAGGCATTAATATAACATATGTTTTGTAGATATGAATCTGGAACAGCAGATAAGACAGTGGGTGGTTTGTCCCACGCCTCTCACCAAGGCCTTGGAGTACAGACACGGGTAGAACCTGGACAAACCTGGCGCTGGGTCTTGCGCTCGCTGCTGTAGCCAAGCCGTCTGTCAGCTGAGGTGTGTCTGGGGACAGACACACAGGGGTCCTGCCAGACCTGCAGAGCTGATTTGTGTTCTGAAAAACTACTTAGGTGACTAAAATCAAAGGCGTGTTTTACTGACATCTGTTATTTCTCTTTCTTTCTCTCTTTTTTAGCTGGTCTTGCCAGAGTACTCTATCCACAGTCTTTTCTGCATAATGTTTTTATGTGCTCAGGAGTGGCTCACGCTGGGGTTAAATGTTCCTTTGCTTTTTTATCACTTCTGGAGGTAAGCCCTTCTTTTCTATGCTGACTGCTTGTTAGCCTTGCTTGCCAATTCAGCACACGTGCAGACTGTATGAACAATGAAGGACAGTGATAGGAGTGTGGATGAATAACTTTTGCCCAGACACTTATGCCTATAAGCAGCTGAAACTTACATTTCCAGCAAAAAAGGAAATTTTTTTGTGAAAATTTATTGGAGAGATATATATATAGAGAGAGAGATATTTATATATTTATATTTATATCTTTATATATCTCCTCTATACCTCTTTATATATATATTTATATTATATTTATATATTATCTCCCCCTCTCTCTTTATATATATATATATTTATATATAAATGTTGCTTTCAGTTACTAACTGAGGTAAATATTCCATAGAGTGTCAGGATGCACACACTGCAACTGAATGAAAACATGGAATTTAAATAAGCTGGAATCCGAGTGTGGAACTCTAAATACTTCACAGATGGGGAGTTGTAAGACAGTCGATATTTGAAAGAGCTTGGACCTATTCATTCAGCCCTAGCAAGGAAACCTTTCCATTGGAGTTGTGAAATAAAGACTGGGCAGATTGACAGGTTTTTGCATCTCATCTTCTTTGGCAGCTTTATGATTTTTTTTTTTTCCAGTATAAAATAAGTCGTTTCTTCCTGTTCAATAGGGAATTGATGTTCTGCAAGAGAACTCTCTCTTAGAGACTCTTGGGGTAGGGATTGCTGTAGGGGAAGAACTATTGTCTTCACACTGCACATGTGAAGAAGTGGGGAGTGTTTCCACTCTGGATCTCTGATATGTGTTTATATTCCCCAAGGGGCTCTCAGAATTGATCATGTAAGACCTGCTGCTGTTTTCCAGATGGGCAGTAGAGCTGCTGCTGCTGCTGCTGCATCTTCCTCTGCATTCTAGTGGAGGATCTGTTGCCTCTGAAAATAACCAAGAGACATCAGTTTTTGCCGTTGTCAGTCTGGAGTCTTTCCTAGTTTTGAATTTTCACAATGTTTGTAAAAGCACAGATGATTTTTGTCTGTCAGGGTCTCTTTGTGTTACAAAGGTACATATGGTAGCAGAAGAATAATTCTGTAAAGAAGTCAAAACCATCATCTCAAACAGAAACTAAAAAGTAGTAGCTTTTTTACACTTTTTTTTCTGCAAAACCTTGGTAAGTAATGCAGAGTCATATGATAAATTCAGAAGTGCCAGTATAGTTCTCAGAAAGCTAAATGAAGCTACAAATGCTTTTCTCCCTATTGTTTGGCTGCAATAAATGTTTACTTAGGGTTAACAATGTTTTGTTGTGCTGTTTTACTTAGGGTTAACAACCAAAGTGTGACAATAGCACTCATTTTAAAAGTTTCTAGAAACAAGTATGTCCAAAAGGAAAATGGTCGGACTCTAAATAATGATATCAACCTTTGGAGAGAACTTTTGATTTTCTCTTTTTTTCTGTGATTCTCCATATGCTTTGCTCTAAGTACTCCATAATTTCTACTGCAAAGTAACTGAGACAGAAGCTCCTTTGCCAATGATGTTGTTTTGTCATGACTTTCTCAAACATTGCTGAAAATAATTAGAAATTTCTCTTAGATAAGAAAACATTTTCCAAATAAAATTATTTGGATGATAAATTTTTTGAGCAGTGCCACATGTAGAAAACCTTAGTCAGCTGGCTCTTATATTACTCCATATTGTTTTGTTTTTTCCTTTTCAGAGTTGGAGGAACTTAGCTACCATCTGGTTGAGACTGTCACCTTTCATCATAGATGAAAAAAGTTGTGTAGCTGCAGTTAAAGCCCAGTAATCCTTCCTGCATGCTCTGATCACAAGCCACCATATATTGACACTCACAGTATGTGAGTTATTAGAAAGCCAGAACTAACTATATAGGAAGTGGAAATGTTTCAATCTGAAGAATTAATAGAACACAGAAAGTCCACACTCATTAAGTACTTGGTTCTATAAGAAAGGAGTACTTAGACTAGCATCCTGATTTTAATAATGTCTGGAAATAGAGACTTGAAGAAAAAGGGAAATTCCTCCTATATCGTGGAAGATGGTAGTCTTCTGAGCTGGTGATCAGGAGGGTGTATATCTTACATTATATTATAGAGTCATTCCAGATGTCTTCTCCTGCTCTTTCAGGTATTTTCGTTGCCCAGCAGATAGTTCAGAGCTAGCCTATGATCCACCTGCAGTCATGAATGCAGATACCTTGAGTTACTGCCAAAAAGAGGCCTGGTGTAAGCTGGCTTTCTATCTCCTTTCCTTCTTCTACTATCTCTACTGGTAAGTCTGGTCATTTCACTAAGAAAATAATAGCTGCTTTTCATTTCACTTGTGAAACTGTATTTAGGAATAACTGGAACCAGTTGGCCAGTTTCCTTAGTCTCATAAAACTTCCTTCTGATGTTGATTCAGGGAAGCACACTCACTTACTGCTGACACCTCAGCACAGAATATTAAGTGTTTATCTAAGGCCTGAGCCAGGCCCCAGGGCCAACCCAAGGAAATAACTTTTGCTCCTTTATATAGTCTCTTAGGATGGATGAAATAGCAAATGTTATATTAATGGTATTATATCAAATAAAATTATAATGTCCTTATGAGTCAAGAGAATCATAAGAAAAATACTCACCTGCTGGTGTAGTGATATTCAAGATGGTAAATAAATGGGTGGGAACACAGGATGCACCATGCCTGTAGTCATTCCTACAGCCTCCCTTTCATGACAGGGTAAGCCTGTGCCTGGTTCAAACCCCGAATTAAAGTACATTCATGAAGATATGCACCCTAGCTGTGTGTTGTCCCTCCTGCTCCTTTCAGCTGTCAGACACCAGTGCACAGCCACAAATGCCCAATGCAAAAATATGTGAGGATCATATTTGAGGTAAGACCTTGGCAGAATCCCTGTGCTTTTAGTCAACCCCCATAATCACACCATAAAAACTACTTGACAACAGACTTTAAGACACTTTAAATGGAGGAGTCATTGCTGCAGGTTGTTGTTTCTCGATATTCCTTTTAAATACTCTTGAGAACAAAGTTTTCTGTTCAGCTGTATGTGTGTATGTGCCTGTGTCTGCACATGAGAGAAAAAGCTGGCAGGGGCCTAACTCCCATGAAGATGGATATGGCATGACAATCTGAGTTTGGCATCCAGTAGCTTTTTGGGTTTAGGCTGAGCACCTTTGCCTGTCCTCTTCATGGGGCTGAGAGTGAAAAGCATGGCAGTTATGCTAGATGAGCTCTGTTGATAGTGAAAGGAGACATGGCAAGGAATGGCTGGAGAGAAAAGCATTTTTAACTCCACATTTTTGTGTTGGGATCAAAGTCATCTGTGTAGCGTGGTCTGGCATTTCTGCTGGGACTTCAGTGTTGTGCAGCTTCCTGTGAGCCCTGCTTCCTTCATTCTAAAATGTGGCCATAATCCAAAATCCACTGCCTGGTGCTAAATAAAGTAGTATAAATTACATACAGTTTTACAGTGCTTTCCTAGGTATTGGCAGAACTAGAGTTGCAGTAAAATGGAGCTGTGGCAATATACTGTGTTTTCTTCACTTCTCCGAGTTGTATTTAATATGTATGGATTCACTCCAGCTGGTGCACTTCATGTTTCTTCTACTGCACAGAGCTTTTTTCCAAAAGAATCAAAACAATGCAGTTTCATGGAAAACCTTGCCTGCCCTGCTGAGGGTTGCTGGTTGAAGTTTTAAAGATCAAACATGCTCAAGCAAAAATGGTTTTGTTTCTTCGCTGTTCAAATTGAGACATCAGACTGAGCTTTAAAAAGCTCAGACACAGCTTGTGGTGCAGTAGAATGTCGATAATGAATTTGTTATTTCTTGAGTGCCTTTTGATACCCATCTTGAATGCACCATAATTAAGATGCTTTAGAAAGATAGGAAGAATGCAAAGGAAGGCACAGGCCATTACAGTCAGACCTGAGGAACAGACAGCAAAGGGTTGTAAAAATCAAAGTGCTCTGTATGCTTCAAAAGGATGCTTTCATAGTGTGTCTTTCTTTTACATTCAGCATGATCTACACTCTGGTGAGCTCTTAACTGAAAGATCATCGTTAAAGACTGAAAACAACAAAGGCTGGAACTGCAAGGACAAGTGAACCAAGTGATGCATGATTAAAAAAGCAACGAGGAAAACTTTGAACCCAAGCAGTAAATAGAGTATGTGAAAGAAAGATCCAGTGACAAGAAGCAGATGACCATGGGAGAATGGCTGAGTTAGTTGTTTTTGTCTCCTGTTTCTCAATGTAGTGCAGTAAATGACTTTCAAAACCCAAGCAAACAAAAAAAAATGCAACACGGGCTAAGTTATACAACTATTCACCTGTCCAGGGCTAATGCTGCTTGGTTTAGTGGATTCATTATAAACTAGAGTCCCTGCCGTCTTCCAAGGAGCAAAGTTTCTTTTCTTAAAGACTATTCTGGCCTGAGAAAGCAAAGGATAAGATAATCTTACACAGAAAGAAGACCCATACAACACATTCTGAAAATGGGCACTGAGTCGACATCAGATAAGATATATGACTGTCCTGAAGGGATATTCACGTGATACTAAGCAAACAAGGATGTCAAATCTCATGGAACTCTTTCAGTGGCTTTGTTTGGGTTTTTTTTCCACCAAAATGACAATGACAAAAGAATTTGCAGCTGCAATATTCTGTTTTCTGATTATATGCTATTCCTGCTGGTGAACACCCAGTATGTTTCTGTACTTCAGTTGTGATACACCAATAACATACAGTGATGTGTATAAATACAATGGGTTTGACCTGATCGTGCCAAGCACTTATCAGAATAGTGTTCCTCTGACTGCAAAGAAAATCCAAGGTAAAAGCTGCATATATTATAGAGGGTTGTAAAACAGGTGTTATATTCATCACAGCGCTGGATAACAAATACTGGACCAGCTAATCGTGGTCTGTAATTCTGTTTTGCAGCTTTATTTCTGCTGTAAAATTTAAGCCGTAACAAATACACAAGATGTTTTTGTCCTGTATGACATTCGTATTGAAAGTTGTCCATTTTTTTATAATTTAAAAGTTTTTAAATTTTATCATATAAGTCTCATTTAAATTCATATGTATGGGCTGTATGTCTTTATATGTATATACAAATACACATCTACATAAATACTCACAGTCTATTTACGTTTTAGGTTAATCTGTCAAGATCAAAGGCGCCAAGTGTCCAGAACTGCTGCTAAATGTATTTCAGCACTGAACCTAGTGAACCTGGGCTTGTTCCCTCAACGTCCCTGGTGCTCTGGGTAGTAGGCAAGCCTGTAAGTTCAAGACTAACACCAGTGCCTGCGCAGACAGTGCTTGGATCTTGCACTGTGAATGAGCTGACAGTTGGGTATGTTGCTAACAGAGATGTGGCAGAGAACAGCGCAGAGAGGCCCATCTGTACCCCAGCTTGTTTACAGCTGGTCTCCTTAGCACTAGCTCGCTGCTGACTCAGCCAAATTTTGACTGGCTACTGAGAGACTGTTTCTGTATCCAGACTCTTGAGATCTTTCTTGTCTGGGCACAGGACTTGAGCAGGAGAGATGCAGTCTCACGTTCAGCACTGCCTCTGTGCTACCATACCCTGTTTCAGAGCATGGTGCAGAAGCCATGGCTGTGTGAGTCATCCCATGTCTGGCAGGTTCCAGACTGAGCTGGAGTTACTGTTATGTGTACAGTGCCAAGACTCTTTCTGCTTTGATCTGGCTGTGTTAACAAAATTAAATCCTGTTAGCCTGCAAAGCACAGTGTCTGCATGCAAACTGTCTGCTCCTGGCCCACGCCAGCTCTGGAATCACACCTGGACATTGCTTGGAAGAGTGCTAGCTGGCCTGAGCCAGCATTATACCGGGCTCATTCTAACAATATTTAGATGATGAAGTTGTCCCAAGGGCTGACATTCTTTCTTTAATTCACAACTACAGACACAGCCAGTAGGTCTTTCTGGATGTAGTTTGCCTTCGTATAAGTATGTTCCCAGTTCTGAAAGGATACAACAAGGCTGACAAATCAGGTTACTTGGAAAGCTAATTTGGGCTCTTATAGTTCATAAGTTTGGATTGCAGATGCTACAGAGGTGGCTAAATTGCCCTTGAAATCACACTGACCCTGCAAGCAATACAGATGTGTTTGCTTGGAGTGAGCCCGAGCTATGACACTTCATTACAGAGCTAACTCATAAAGCTCTGCTGCTGTGGTATAATTAGTGCACAACTCATAAAAAGTTGATGACTGTAACTGAATTTCTTCTCTACAACCTAACTAATGCATCTTTTTCTACAGAAGTATAGGAACTAGATTCTCGAGAACAAATCACAGTGGATAACTTCTAGATATCTTACTACCTCATAAAACTCTCAGCTCTGAGCAGGTGACTGAATCTTTCCATGTGTCTTCTAGGAAGTATAGGAGATGGGAAAAACTTAATTCAGGTTTCCTATATTCCAGATACGTGCTTTAAAGTCAGTTTCATTTAAAAGCTTGCTCTGTGTTTTACCCAGGGGTTGCAGTATCTTGCTGGGAACTCACATATAGTGAATGTTCTTAAGACCAGATTTGTCATTTTCTCTGTTAAACTTTTCAGCCATGTTAAAAGAGAAGAAGCACAAATAGGGGAAGGAAGAACGAAGGATAAAAGATAACTGTTGCTCTCTTAATCCCTCACCATGTATGTGACTAATTACAAGCTAAGCCTACTTCACTCAGAGGGTGGTTGGGCACTAGAACAGGCTCCCCAGGGAAGTGGTCACAGCACTGAGCCTGACAGAGCTCAAGAAGCACTTAGACAACATTCTCAGGCACACAGTGTGATTGTTGGAGCTGTCCTGCACAGGGCCAGGAGCTGGACTTTGATGACCCTTGTGAGTTCCTTCCAACTCAAGATATTCTATGATTCTATTTTAATCAAACCAAGGGAAGTAAACTGCATAGTTGTTGCTAAAGAACAGAAAAAAATTATGTGATCTTTGCTCACAAGGAGGTCTCTTCCCCTTGTCACACTTTTAAGGGAGAAATAGTGCATGCTACCCCTTTTTGTCTCCAGTTCCATCTTTTTGATTGGTGAAGGCTGCAGATTTCCTCCCCAAGCCTGCTTCATTCCTGTCTCTTTTCCTGAAAGGGTAACTGCATTACTTAGGCCTAGCAGTCCTCTTCTCTTCTCTAACACATTGTGGTGATACAGATAGATCCCAGAAAAGACATAAGAAAACACGTCATCTCCCTTTGCTCCTTCAAGCAAGTGTGCAGTGAGCACATGCTTAAGCAAGTATTCATTTTCCTCATTTGTACCATCTGTGATGTGAGAAAGGTGAACCTAGCTTCTGAAATCTTTCCATATTTGTATTACTCTTTTCTTTTTTTTTTTCCCTCCCGTAACTGTTGAATCTGCTTAAAGGAAAAAGGTGGGACATGAAAAAAAAACAAAAAAGTGGGAGAGGATGAGACCAGAATGAGCTGCTTACCCAAGGGGTAGCTACACAATGTGCTGGCCTGTAGCTGCCTGTTGCTGGAAGGGATGAAATGGCAGCCCTGTTGGCAAGGTGTTGCTCTGAGGTTCTGCTCGTCCTATTTATAGTCAGGTAATTGCAGTGATGCTGAATCAAATTGTTGCTGCTATGACTGTTTCAGTTTCAAATCCAGCAAATCAGTGCTGATAGCAGAATGCTTCGCCTACAAATAATTAACTATACTTAAGCTGTCAGAAATGTTTTTCCATCTGCTTCCTTGAGCCATACTCTTCCTTTTGCACGGAGCCACTGGAAGTGGAAGAAAAAGTTCTTCAACCTACACCTTCTTACAGAAACTATTCAGAGGTTATTATGATCTGGCACTGCTGCTGGGGTCATGATTACTCATACATTATTAATAGGGGTATTAGCAATCTGTTGCTTTTCCTTTCTCCATTCCATCTCCACACAGATATTTTTGCTAAAAAAATAAAAAATATACAGGGCATCATCCAAAACCCTTGAATGTAAAGAGTATTTTCTTTTGCTTCCAATTGACTTCATTTAACATCCATTACTCTAGAACTGCATGGGAAACAGGGTCACACTGGAAAGTCTCTAGAGTTTTGCTAGTAGGAATCCCATCCTTTAAATCTTGATATCACATCCATTTAACTGAATTATGTTGATGGAAGAGGAACCTCCATTTTTGAGGAATAAGGGTAACATTTCAATGTTCATGCCAGACTGTCACAGGAAGTTATGTCAACCTGGTAAAAATCTGGCTTCATGGAAGTTTATGGAAATCCTACCTCTTTATTTCATATGAGCCCTACTTACCATTGTACAATTTCTACCAAGAGGTCAATGGAAATTTAAAAAAAAAAAAAAAGGAAAACCCCAAAACACAATAAGTTTAGTTATTCAAAAATCTTACTGGATGTTATCTAAAGTTTGGGATGCTACAAATAGAACAGGAGATGAAAAAGTCAAGGCGAGAGGTGTTTTTTTATTCTTTGGGAAACAACAAATATTAGAGTACCATCCATGCTGCACTGAACTTTACATTGGTGATCTCAGTCCGTATTCCTGATCTGGTGAGTTTTTTGATCATTCATGGCTCGTGAACACATTGTTCTGATTTATTTTTGTTCTGCTCAGTAATGCAGCTGTAGGTGGGAAGGAGGGAAAATTCTCCTCTGAAATACAATATTCCCCTTCTTTCCTCCCAGATAACCTGTGAACGTGCAGTAACAAAATCTGATGATGTGTTTCGAAGGTGCACCTCAATCGAAGAATGAAGCTGTTTGCTGCAGGTGATGTTATGTTGCAATTTAACAAACCGTGGTTCTAAACATATTTTTAGGTGCTTACACACTTAAAGTAGTTATTTTATTGCCTCTGATTGCTGGCCAAATTCTCATGTAAGAGAAAATATGTTTCTGTGGCCTGATTCCATGACTTTCTTTGTAGTCAAACTCTTGGTAAAACTCGGAGGAACGTGAAGTGCTTTTTAATTATTTTTTTTCCAAGAATAACATCCCATATTTGGGTGATATGTTATGGAAGTTGAGAGAAGCATTAAAAAGCCAAAATATCTTACTTAGTCTAAATTTTGAAGAGACGTTCCTCCTTTTCTCCCATGAGTTATTCCTAGTATTACTGGTCTCTAGACAGATCTGAAGAAATCTGCCTGTCCCACTGTTTTTTCTGACGGTTTCAGTCTTTTTAAATAGATTTGTCACTGCTGATCATTAGCATGAAACACTGTCTGGAAAGAGCAGCTCCTACAGACCACCCCAAGATTTACACAAACGTCTTAAATATCACGGAAGTAATCCAGTCTTATGGAATAGCTCTCACCTCTACATAGTAGTATAAAGTAACAATCAAATAATATACATAATACATAGCACAAGTCAAATAGTACAAGCAAAGCAGGCTTTCTGTCTGTATTTCTGTCTGTGTTCTCTCTATAATACTTTTTTTTTGGTAATACAGTATTTTGCTTGTTGTAAAAAGCAATATAATTTACAAGACCAAAGATAATCAGGCTGCTGCAGTTAACAGGAATGCAAAGTTTGAGCGTAGTTATTTCTAAAGATTTAAAATAATTACTGTTTCTGACAGTTATTGACAGCTTGCAGTTACTGGAGGTGCAAATTCTGGTGTTAATACTAGCTTTAGCAACATATACATTTTCTTCTTTTGGCATAAGAATCCATGTTCCTTTCTAGAACATATTTAACACATTTTCAGACCTTATATGACTCTCAGTATATAGAAACTTTAAATGTATTACAAAAAATCCAGATAAAATGCAAATACAAAATACAGCAAACATGGCAGATTATTTAGCAAATTTCTAGACATTCAAAGGAAATTTCTAGGTTTGATGTCATTTATTGTGGGTCTCTGGACTGTCAAAGCCTACCTGAATGCTGCCATTATCAACAACAGTTCAGTGAGGAGATGCACGCTCAGTTATATCTTCCCAGCTGCCCAGAAACATCTCATCATGTAGCCACCTTTCCTGCAGAGCAGATGACATCCACTTTGTCACTTTGAATCCGTTGCCCTTTTAGAAGTTAAGAACATCACAGTGCAAAACTGTTCTTAGCCATTTGCAGCCAATGTTGTTGAGCTACCTTGCCCTTACAGGCGTGTACAATACCATCAAGCAAGAGCAGTTTTCACTGACCTCTTCTTGAGCTTCAACTTGTACTGTTTTAGAGTGTTGTTTTGTTGTGTTTTGGTTTTTTTAATTTTGTGTCTGAAAGGAAGAGTTCTTTTCTATGCGTGATGACCAGCATTGCTACATTGGTTTTGGAAGCTTCAAGATCCCTTCGGTTTGGTGCGTTTCAGTAAATATGGAAGCATCCTAAATCCATGTCTTTGAAATGTGTTTCTCCTCAGGTCTGATTTTCAGTATTCCTGCTCTTCCAGTGCTGAGTAGTTGCCCAGCCAGAAAGAGCTATATAAATGAATTATAAAGTTGTATAAAATAACTCAGGGAGGAGGGCTCTTACCTATCCTTTCTTATAACATAAAAACAATGGGAGCACCAAAAGAAAATGTGAGGCACAGATGTGAAATATGAAAAGAAAGATAAAAATGTTAATCAGTGAACACATTGTCACAACCGATACAAGTATCAGGACACCCAGTATTCAGTATTGTTCCATTTGAATCTGTACCCTTACATAGATAACAAACATTTCCGTAGCTACATTTGAAAGAATAAAACTACAGAAGAGTTAGAAACCCAAAACTTTCAGGACAGGAGCCATCCAATTGCCGACTGTTTTGAGTTCAGCAGATTATTTACCCTATGACCTAGTACAAAGTATTTTCCACCTTGTTCTGAAATGTCTACAGGTGGCTGCTATCAGTGATAGCAGCTGAAGCCAGATGGGCCATTGCTGTGTTCGTTCAAGGACTCAAATTCTGTTCTTGAATGACCATAGAACATCTACAGAATTGGAAGCTGTGTTTCAAATTATTAACTTCTCTACGCCGATAAAAATTTCAAAATCTCCTAAATGACATTGGAGTATAAGTGTAATTTTCACAAATATTTGTTTATTTACTTAGAACCCTAAAAACCTCATGAAAGTGAGATGCCCACGTACCAAGAGTTCAGTACTCAGGAGAGAGCAGTAAGAATTTGACCCATGGTAGCTATTCCTCACCAGGTCCTTGTGTTTGCTCTCTACAACCTTGTAAAGCAAAGTCTGCAGTTTCACAGGTAGTTTGCATCTGGAAGTGCTCACAGAGGAAGTTGGTGCAGAACAGCTAATGTATTCTTTGGTTCCTCTGTTGCTCTTTTAGATTCACATTCCTGGCAGATGAACCCTTAGACTCCTGAATTCCTTAGGCACTTTAAAGTGTTATTTGAGTACAGTCTGCTCACTTCTGTTAACTGCAGGGTACATACTCTAACCAGCTAACCAGAAAGGATATAAAAGTAAGGCAAAACCAGATAATCCTTTTTTAAGAAATTAAGTTCTCATCATTATGTTATGAGAACTGAGAAAATGAGAGTTCAGCTCTTGCCTGTTACACACCCTTCCTTTGTCACATTGGGCAGGCACTTAATCTCTCAGCTCACAATCTCCTAACTGGAGGTGATAGCACTTTCTTCTCCCTCATTTTGTCTGTCTTAGTTTAAATTGTGAGCTCTTGTGAGATGGAGCCATTTCTTTCTCTGAGTAATGCCTGGTACTGCGTAGCTGAAATTGGGAATTACATGTCTAGATGGTATTATAATCTAAATAATTAATACTTGGAGGAAATCACGGGAGGAAACAACAGAATTCGGTGGAATTAGTCAAAAGGTATTTTTTCCACTGCTGCCAAGATTGGTTCCTGACCTGCTCTGTTGCTGTGCCCTAGGGCCTACTGACAATCTGAAGTGTGCTTTAGCCTCTGAGTGCATGTAATGCTGTAATTTGATGCTGCTGAAAAGCACTAAAATATAAAGAATAAAGTGATCCAAACAGCTCCCCATTTCAGTATTTTGCACCCTTCTAATTCCTTGTTGCTTTTCCATCCTATCCTCTTCTTTTATGATGCAGTGGCATCCTGGCACCTTTTGGTGTTGCATTGAAAACAAACCCAGTGCAAGCTCAGAGTAAAACAATGACACTGCTTTTAATCCAAATTATTCATCTGTGGTTACATTTATTGGAGAATAAAATTATCCTGTTTTGATTTTGGTTTTAACCAGGTATGAATGGAAATCAGCTATTTTGATAGAAATCCTTTTCATCCTGGTATATGAATAAAGCCGCATTTGTACAGGAGTTTGATGTTTAAATGTGCATCAACACAAATTCGTTATTAGGCCAGATCAACAGCACAGAAGTTGCCTCAGTTTGGCAAAGGATGATATATTTTTATAGATATAACCTGGCTGCAGAACAGCAGAGCTGTGCTCACAGGCAGGAACTGTCCCAGTTGCAAGTACCTGGTGTCGCCTTTCACAGTGTGGAGCCATGCTGGTCACTGGGGGGCATTTGGTCTTCCAACAAATGGGCTTAAATTTGCAGTGCAGCCTCTGAGGACTATTCACAGGTTAACCCCTCTGTGGGACCCGTGTTCATAATCACAAGGGAAGCAGAACCACCTGGGAAGTCAGTATATTAAACAGTGCCAGACTTCTGCAAAGCAGATACGTGTTTTGACCCTTGTTTCTTCCACCACAGTTCATATCACCCTTGAATTTGGCCACCTGATATTTTGGTTCTAGATCCTCAAGTTCAACCCTAAAGCAGACTTTTTTCCTATTCTAATGTATTTGTGGTCTGAGAGATTGCATGAGATGAACTCTAAAGGGATCTAAAGGTTTTTTTATGTCCCTTTTATTGTCCATTTATAGGCCTTTAAATACCTTGTTATTTAACTACGTACCCCTTGATACACACACACACACACACACACACACAAGTCATCTAGAAGCTAAATAAATCCTTGCCTGTTATATATAATAAAGGGAAGTGTTCTTCTGTTATCTTTGTGTATCTGTGCAGTAGGTCCAGACAGTAATATTACTTATGGGGTTATACTGAGCAAGAAGAGAAAGCTGAATTTCTGGGTCTCGTAGGCTTTTCTAAGATGTTAATTTAAAGCACATTTTTGACAAGCGCTGCTGGCGGGTTCAGAGGAGCTGCTGTGGGGTCATTGTAAGCCACGCCACCTCAGGTCATTTGAGAGCCTTTTTTCAAGGGATGTTGAAGACACTCCCTGTATGTGTTCATTCTTTGGTTCTTTGACCTCAAAAACCTGAATGCAGTTAGCAAGGTCTGCAGGAGAAAACTAAAGCTGATCAGTCCTGCCTGTCATGCAGAGAACTGTCATATTTCCAGCAGCAGACAGTACTTTGAATATCCATGAAGGAATCTGTTGTATTTTCTATCATGGTTTTGTCCCTTTAAGTTAATTATTAAATAAGATTGTTAGGTTGTATTGGAAAATGTGACTCATTCTTTCAAAACCTATTGCCTTTAAGTAGAAGCATTATTTATCCTCCAAAAGCTTCCTGAAGTGGTAGTGGCAGCAGCAGAATTTTAATGTAACCTCTCTCATTCATCATTTGAAGCCTACAACAACAAGTGATGAATCTTTGATGAACCTTGTCAAGCTTTCTTCGGATTGTAATAGCAGTTTTATAATCTTCAAAGAAGTTCAGAGGCAATTTGCTATGACTGTATCTACTTTTTTTTCTCTATGAGCATTCAGCCCAGTGCTGAGCACTGATACATTACTGGATTAGAAAGTCTTGTCCCTGTGTTTCTGGTGTAAATGAAAAACTGTGTACCAGACGTTACAAGTATATTTTCTAGAGAAATCCCAATAAAAGCTGCCAGACTGCAGGGATCCTTTTAAAAATTTTTGTATATATCTATAGATATGGATATGGATGATATAGATATAGATCTTTTTACTGTAAGTATAATGAATCCACTGACAGTATATAGAGACAGTCTCTTATCCCGGAGCACTGGGAGTAATTATGAATGGATGGTGCTTTTTTCATTTGATTGTAGGGCTCTGTTTTCTCTCTGCAGCATGTGCTGACATCCATGAAACACACTTCTATCTCCAGCACCTATCTTGTTCCCAGAGCATGGTACAGGTTTTATCAGAGATAAATAGTGTTCTCAAATGAGGACATTACTTTTGTCATTTCTTGTTTTGTCATTTTGTTTTTGTGCCTCGTTCTGCTAGAGGCTAGAGTCAGAACTACTGAGAACTCAAGGACCTGGAAATTTGTTTACTGTTAACACAACCTTTGCAGTCACCGGTATTGTTGGCTACAAAAATAGCTTGTCCTTTTAAAAGTTTACGCTATAACTTTATGACTTGCAGAGAGCCTGGATATAGTTTTTTGCCTGGGTTGGGGCATAACTGCATGGCTACCGTGTTTCAAGTCTCTCATGAAGACAAAGCAACTGATCTACAAAAGATTCTTGGCACTCTACAAAGGCGGAACGGAGCAGAACTGCTTTGCCGTGTCCTTGCCAGTGCCTGGGGGCAACGGGCTCTTGGGAGGACTCCATCCTGCCTTGCTGATTCTGACTGCTGGAGTGGTTCCCGAGGGGAGCTGCAAGTAGCTGGGCCAGGCTGAGATCAGCTTTCTTATTATGTTAAGTGATGGGCTCCTCTGCCAGTTTGACCTTCGTTCCTGCAGTGTTTCAGTTCAGCAATATATCAGAGTGAGAGAGTAACACTGGGGAGTTGCAGCAAAAATATACAAGTTGTTTAATTCTCTCAGGACAGACAGATGTTTATCAATTCTACCTAACCATGCGTATTTCAGTTTCAGTCACTGATGACTTAACAGGCTGTATGTGCAGAGCTGAATTTGCCAGGAAAACTGCTTCATCAGTAATGGGTGAAAGAGGAGACCGAGTGATATTCAAAGTGATATGTACTCTTTTAAGCCTGACTTTTGATTCTGTAGTTTCTCCAGGATGTTCAGGAAACTCTCATAGTGTCAGTCTTTGTGATTCATTTGTCTGTGACTAGTTATCCCTCTTCACTTGAAGATCCAACTTACTGATTGGATTCCTGATCTTACTTCCTTGATCAGTCATGGTGGCTAAACTTCTAGCTCTTTCTCCTTGTTCCTTCATGGACAGCTTCCTGTCTTCTCAATTTCTCATGTGATGTTTGGAGCTACAACTTTTCACAAAAAATTGGAAGTTTGAGTATTTACATGAGACGTCCATGCATGGCTCAGACAGCAGAATCCCAGAAAACTGGAGTATGGATGAGGTGGGTTATGTTCTGTATCTTCACTGCAGGCAAAGTAGACTGATCTCACCCTGTGATAGATGCCAATCTTTGGTAACCCTAAGCCCTGTGAAGTGCCTGGGATGCTTGTGTCATGGATGTTCATACCTTATTGTTCATTCCAACTGCCTGGACCAATAACCTGCTTCCTACAGTGGCCAGAGTCTGAGAGGAACATCCAACAGTGCATTAACAGATGTGGTACAATCTGTCCTTCTTCTTAAGTTTCATTCTCACCTCTTATAGCTGGAGACAGGTACAAACTCCTGCAGCCTGAAGTGAACATATCTGAAACATTAATTAAAACTACATTTTTAACATATGCAAATATCCAAAGCCTTTTATTCTGACTAGATTTTTTTGGTTTATGTTGCTATGGGCTGTAGAATTTTACTAGATGTTGTTTGGGGACAAAAAATTTTTTACCGCTTTGGAATATAATCCTAGTTTTATTGAAAGTCCTGATTCCCCTTGTTTATGAGATTGGCAAGACAGAAGTTCCTGATGTATCACCTTTACAGTATTCATTATCAAATTCTCTGATGAACCACATCATCTGCTTTTTTTTAGTGAGCAATACCAGAATTCTAAGGGTTTCCTCACCTATTTTTGTAGCCTCATCTCAGCCTTTCTCCCTTTCTGTGATAACATAATTTCATGTATTTTTAGTTTGAGTGATTTGAACAACAGTTTTGTATCTTCTGTGTTATTCATCATTCTGCTTCACACGCAACTGTGAATTTATATATTTTTTTTAATGTTTAAATTACAGCTGTCATGACAGAAGTCTTCTCTGGGCTCTCCAACTGTGATAGAGAGTTGGGCACGTAGCCAGTTGGGCAGATTGAACTGAGATGTCCAGTTGGACCAATTCCTCATTTGGATTTGGAATCCAAAACAGCTACTTTTGAAACTGAAATAAAGCTGTGTGTTAGCCCTTGCAACACACAATCTGTTGACCAAACAGGGCTGTGGGGCACCATCTTTGCTCTGCAGAGGAGCATTATTTCTGACAAACCACCTGAAAGACATAGACCCCTCAAACAGAAGTATCGCTCATCCCAATTTCTCAAGGCAAGGGGTACAGCTTTGTAAGATGGAGAGGAGAGAAGGAACACAAAAGTGGATGAAGAAAATTACCTTTAGGGTGAAGCAGGACAATATGAAAAAGTATCAGTTCTGAATACATCTCATACTCGCCACAGAGAAACTGGAGTATTTAGTGGCCCATCAATTTACCCAAGCAAAGGTCTCTGCCCACGACTGGAGTTGCTTTTCCAGGTCTCATTGCAGAGGCTTATCAGTAATTCCCCAAGCCACTTACTAAGCTGCTTAGCAACATTTCTCTTCTTGAAGATACTGCCCCTGCCTGTCTGCTGACAAGGTGGGTTTGTATGTGTGTTCCCTAATCCACATCAGTGGAAAAAATTAGCTTACATTTGAACTCTTATTTTCTGGGAATCTGCACACATCTGCTACCTCTGCTGCTTCTGTCTTGATGCAGGCTGGGCAAACAGAAACTTCTGAATCCATGGCACTTAAGCTGCTGGAGCAGGTTCAGCTGCTGGAACTCCCACTGGAGTCATTAAACACCCTTCATGGAAAATAATTGATTGCTTTTCCGGCATTCAGGGCATTGTGTTCTAGGTGGGAATGAGAAAAGGCATTCAGATAAAACCAAAAGTTACCCTGACCGTAAAATCCGGACTGAA